TCTCCAGGTATGTGTTTGGCTGAACGAGCGTAACGCCGTGGCGTTGGATGAGAGCTGGAGGGAACCAACCAACCTTCAGGCCAAACTACTGAAGCATCAGAGCTTCGAGGCCGAGATCCTCGCCAACCGCTACCGACTGGACGCCCTCACGAAGGTGGATTTAGCTCATCACTAAGCTTAAAACAGGGGCAGTTTTTATAAACCATCTCAGAACTTTGAAATCTGTGTAGTGAGCAACAGTCGAAACTTTCTGATGATATTCCAACATAATGATGAACAGAACACAGAGCGTGGAGATATTCAGTTATTTTTTCTTCCACTGAGGTTTTTCTCCACACTTTGGTCTCTGTTGTTCGTATACCTTCTCATGTGTCTCCGGCTGCTTCACAGGAAGGTGAGAAGCTGCTGTCAGAGTCTCGATCAGCTGAAATGAAGGTTCAACCTCGACTCAGAGAGCTGACGGACAGTTGGGACGCTCTGATCAAAAACTGCAAGGAGAAGAAGACCAGACTGCAGGAGGCCTACCAGGTACTCAACAGTTCATACACCTTTCTGTGACTTGGTCATCTAGTCCTTAAACCTAACTTAACTTAATCCAAACCTGAAGTTAACTTAAATCTGAGCTAATGCATGCTAGACCCAATGTTAACACAAACTTATCCTAGGGTAGCCTAAACCTAGCGCTAACTTAAACCTGACTTAATGTACACTCAACTTAATGTAACATAAACGTTACCTAACATACCCTAGACCAAAGGTAGCCTGAACCTTACGATAACCTAAACCTAATCTAGCATTCCCTGAACCTATCGTTGCCCTAAGCCAAACCTAAAACACCCATAAACTTAACATTAACCTAAAGCTGACCTAATGCATGCTAGGGGTGAGGTAACCTAAAAGGAAAGTGAATCTAAACCAAGCCTAAGATAACCTGAGCCTGATGTTATCATAAACTTAACATACCTTGAGCTTAAAGTAACCTAAAACTGATCTTAAATAAAACCAAACCTAGGATACCCTAAACATAACATATCCTAAACATAAACATAGCGGTAACCTAAATTTAATCCAACATGTCCTAAACCTTACATCAATCTAAACCTAACCTCTTGTACGCTTAATCAAAGGGAACCTAAACCCAACATTAACCTAAAATAACATCATAAACTGTTGAAAGCACTCACTGTGCTGTTTGTGTATTCAGGCGCTGCAGTTCCAGCGTTCGTTGGACGACATGGAGCAGTGCGTCGCCTCGGTGGAGAGGGAGCTGACCAATGAGGACTGTGGCAGCGACCTGCCGTCCGTCAACAGGCTGCTGAAGGCTCTGCTGGGGCTGGAGGAGGAAGTGGACGGACACCGGGACCGGATCCAGGTCATCCACATGTTCATGTTGTTTAAGAACCTGAGATCTTTGGCTTCTTGATAAACGTGTTTTAACGTAAAGGGCAGTTCTTTTTTTTTTTTAACAGATTTCTTTGTTGCCACGTACATGAACTGTTGCACTTCTTCCTTTACAGCAGAATTTATTTGTTTAAATTAGTGGATTCTTGATGCACAGCTCGTATCTAAATCAGCTGCATGTCATTGGACACGTTTCCGGTTAAAGACTCTATGCACAGATGCATTGTTCTAACAAAATCATGTCTACACTTTTAAAAAAAACCCTCAAGACTTTTTGCTTTTTTTCTGATTATGATGATCAGACTACTGCAGCGCTGTAGCTTCACTTTGACGACTTACTTTAGCTTTGTTTTAACTGCTTGGTAAATTTCTTTAACTCCTAATGCGCCTTTTAGAAGATTCACCGACTTATTATGTTGTAGGTTTAATTTTAAGTTGATAAAATCAGTCTACACAACATTAATTCATAATGACGAGGTGTAAGCATGCCAGTCATTGCTGCTGAGAAACAGCCCCGCAGCATGATGCTGCCACCACCGTGCTTTGCTGTAGTATTAGCATATATAAACTTATATGTGTTTCTTTTAAAACAGGGTCTTGTGGAGACGGCAAACAACTTCCACTCTCAGGGAAACTTCCTGGCTGAGGAGATCCAGACCAGAGTGGCACATACCATCAGCAGGTCTGCTACCAGTCTAATCCATTGTGCTGAGATGAATCCGGCTTAGTTGCACTGTGTGTTGTTGTTGTTGTGTAACGTATCACATTATGAGATGATAATATGATCAGTGCTCTGATAGTTGCTGTTGCTCCATTTACATAATGTATGACCGTAATAATGCCGTATACTTGATTTATGGAGTGTGGAGAATAAATAAATAGATGATTTAGTCACACTGGTGGTGTTTAAAGTAGATTTCTCTGCATTGTGGTTTTGTGTGACATTTCATTTCAACAAAAAAAAAGGTACTTTTATAAGAGTTTATGTAACGCGTATATTCATGTTGAAACACCAGCGACAATAGGAGCTTAATATGAAACACCAGGCACGCATGGTGCTCAGAGGTGTTAATGAGTGTTCTGTCAGGTACAACGGTCTGGCAGAGCCCATGCAGAACCGCAGGGAGACCCTGGAGGCCTGGCAGGTTCTGTTCCAGTTCTACAGAGACCTGGAGGAGGAGGTGGCCTGGCTGAGCGACAGACTGCCCTCCATCACCGCCAGAGACTGGGGGAGTTCACTGAGCAGCAGCCAGCAGCTGCTCCACAAACACCAGGTAGCTACCGGCAGAGTCCAGGATGAAACATCAGATGTCAGACAGACTAATCAAGATCTTTGCCTTCGATCCGATCAGTCATTTATTGTTTTGTATCTGCTCATATCGAGTCCCAGTGTGATGCCATTTACTGACATAGCACACACTTCAAGTACATCAGATTTGTTGAAATCAGTCTAATTTATATGTTGAGAACTGAATCTCTTCAGTGCATTAAGAAAAAAACTGCACTTCTGCCTCCAGTGTGTTCCTGAATGCCTTGTAGGTGTTCAGGAACGTTGTTGTAAAGCTCTGTAGGGCAGGATGGTCTGAGGAAACCTGTTTTCTCTAACTCAGTGGTTCTCAAACTTTTTGAGCCACGACCCCCAAGATAACATAAGTTTGTGTTTGTGATGCCCCAATTAGAATTTTTAATATGGCATGAGTAATAACTTTGTTGTTCATGCATTAAAAATTAATGTGCTAATTCCACAGATTAATCTCTTTACATTTTTGTCTTTTAAATGAATTAATGACTTCAATTTATTTCCAACAAATGAAAGGGAAAAAAAATATAAAAACAAAAGAAAATTATTTTTTAAAAGAGCAAAAGGAATAATATTGAATAATCAAATCATATCAACAAGTTCGAGTTTTAATTTTGACAGCCCTAATACATATTTATTTGATAAATGTAGGCTTTATTTTTGTTTTTATTTTTTAGAATGATCTGGCGACCCCCAGTTTGAGAACCACTAGTCTCCATGATGTAAATTCAGTAATTTCAGTGATTCAGTGAATGTATCATAGACCAGCTGTAGTACCTGGTTGTTCCACCAGGTGGAGCCTCTCACTGTTTAACCCTGTAGAGACCAGAGGAGGTGTCACTCAGACTACAGCTCATGGTGGCAGCAGAGAGCATTGTGGGAGTTTAGCAGCAACAGGACCATGACAGAGACTCTGAGGAGGTTCATGACCTCCAACCAGAACTCAGGAGTTTCAGACAAACCGGGATCAACAGAATGTATCAGAGCCCAAATCATGTGTTTGTTCACTAAAACAGCAACATCAGCACTGACCTGAATTTATATTTAGAGTTAATCAGTTATTGGTTAATGACGCTGTCGATTACTGATTTAGAAAACTGTTCAAAATGAGCATTTCTAGCATCTTGCCACTAATCTTAAAACACCTGTTGGACATAAACAAAGGACTGGGCCCATGTTCAGCCTAAAAGCACCTTTAGATCAGGACATCTCTGATTTAAGTTATGAATAATTAATCATTTTGCAAATATTTTACTTTATTTATACTATATTTATCCTTTATTTTTTGCCGCATGGACTTTATTTAGGTTTGGACTGAGTTTTATTACCAGTAAATTTGCTGCTTTGTCTATAAAATGTAAGAAAATCATGGAAACATCTACATTGTTTTGAATTTTCCAAGCCTATCTTTGGTTCTGTCGATTAAATCAACTGTTTAAATAATATTTTCCAGGCCATGACGCAGGAGATCTCTGGTCGCGCCCCATTGGTCCAGGCCGTCCAGGAGGCGGGCCACAGTCTGGTGAGGATCCATCAGCTCTTGGTTTTCAGCAGAACATTCAGGTCTTACTGAAGCTCTGATGTTTGTACAATCGACTCTTTCAGGTCAGGGGTCGACACTTCGCGTCTCACGACATCCGTGAGCGTCTAGAGGAGTTGAAGAGTCTCCACGAGAAGCTGCTGGTGGAGGCGGAGAAGAAGGGGAAGCTCCTGCAGGAGGCGCTCAGCATTCACACCTTCCTCACAGAGGTAACACAGGCAGCAGTGTGCTTCCAATAACATCCAGGAAGCACAGTGTTCTTCATATACCTCCATTTCTTCAGCTGATCTACCGCTGGGGACCTGAAGAACTGTAGCATCCAAATAAGTCATGTGAATGGGAAGAAACATACAGTTGTAAGTGTTAAATGTTAAAAAAAACTGGGTTCCTGCAGTGAAACAATGTAATGATGCCACCACGTGAACTTTTAACTCGCACACTTTTATAAATGTTCATGTTGTAGTGGCAGCCTGAAGCTCCAGATGTCCCGGGCAGTGGACACGTTGGTAGTAAACGTTCTAGATCAACCTGGTATTCAGGTGTGTTTCTGTGCTCAGCTGTCGGAGCTGCAGATCTGGTTGGAGGAGCAGCGAGTCGGTCTGGAGTCCCGGGACTGTGGCAGGAGCGAGGAGGCGACGGAGGCCCTGCTGAGGAGGCTGGACTCTGTGGACGTGGAGCTGGAGAACCAGAGGAGGACGGTGGAGAAGCTGCAGGAGAGCGGAGCGTCGCTGCAGCACCTCCGACATCCAGACAGGTTCGTAGTGTTTCCACATCTCTTTATTTCTAAGTCTGTGATTTAGAATGAAATCTTCTCCCCATGCGTTTCCATCTCAGCCGTCTGGTCAGCGAGTCTCTCCCAAGTGTCCTCGAAAAGTTTGAGACTCTCCTCAAACTGTCCGCCTCTCGTCGCGCCGCTCTGGAAGATCAGCTCCGCCTCTACGTGTACGAGAGAGAGGCCAAAGAACTACAAACATGGCTGACCTCCAGGAGGACGGTGACAGAGTCTGAGGACTGTGGACAGGATCTGGAGGACTTAGAGGTGAGACGTGAGCGCAGCTTTATGAAGGAGGAGAGAGAACTAAGAAATGTCTTCAGTTTGTCAGATTTCTGTCCTTCTACCTGTGTCCTACTTCCTGAAAACTTTCTGTCCGACATGTTGATGGCAACACTGGGACAACTGGAGACTGTGCACACTATAGATTAGAGTATTTTTACAGCCACTACAAGCTTCTCTCTGTTCTTTTGTGTCTCATTTTTCCTTTTATATGTCTCTTTGGGACAACGTTGACTCTCGGGGCTCATTTTGTGCCTCATTTTTGTTGTTTATGGGCTAATTTGTGTTGTTTTGTGACATTTTTGTCCCTTTTTTGTCATGTCATGTCTCATTTTCCTGATTTTGGGTCTGAGTTTATCCGTCTAGCTGCGGTTATTTGTCACATCCATGTCTCTTTTTTTTAATCTCCTTTGTTTGATCTAATTTTTGTCTTTTTGGACTTTTTTTGTGCAATTTTGTCTCTTTGTGGTCATTTAGTGTTTTTCTTGGTTTTCTGTTCAGTTTTGTCACGTTCTCTGTTTTTTCAGATTATTTAAATCTAACACACAGAAGATAGTGAATTTAAAGAAACCTCATGATGTTTAACTAAAATATGGTTCATTGTTTTGTGCACTTGTCACACATGATTTGCTGAAGGACCCTTTTTATAGCTGAAAATCTTACAGCTCTGTCTGTTTATACATTTTCTGACTGATAAATGGTGTTATCCCGTTGATTTAGTTTGCTTTTTTTAAATAATGATGCCTTTTTAACCTGCTGGCAGGTTTTGAGATTAAGACAGTTAAATGTAAAAGTAGAACAGTCTGAACCTTTTTCATTTCATCTACAATCTTAGTAACTAAACTGAAATAATGTCTCATTAACTTTATTGTGAAAGCACATTTTTGGCTTTTGTGGATTAACTCTGGATTATAGAAATATTGTGATTCTCGTGTTATTTAAACAGTTTTTTAGAATTTTTTTTGTTTGTTTTTTAAATACATGAAAATAATCTAAAATAAAAGTTTTTCTTGTGGCTGGTACTGAACAGCACATCAAAACCAGAAGAACTGAAGGTTCAAACGCTCAGAGACTCGACAGGCGGCCCAGAGAGAAAAAACATTTAGTTCACAGTTCGCAGCACCGAGTACTGAAACAGCCGGATCTCCAGCCCTGTTTCTGCTCACATATCCATCCCTCCGCCTGCAGGTCCTTCAGAAGAAGCTGGAGGTTCTGATGGCAGAGGTGTCCGGTTTGGGTCGCAGCCGGCTCACCTCGGTCCAGCAGCTGGGTCGGGGGCTGCAGCAGGACGGCCAGGCCCGGAGGAGGGACGACGCTCTGAGCCGGCTGTGGGACGAACTGGACGGCAGCATCAGGACCAGAGAGCAGGTACAGGTCTGACCCGCCAGGCTGGCTCTGGATCAGTAGAGGTGCCGAGTGTAACGGTTTGTCCCGTGTTTTCCAGAACCTGCAGGCAGCAAGGGAGGTGCATCAGTTCAACCACGACGTGGACGAGCTGAAGGGCTGGATGGCTGAGAAGGAGGCAGTTCTGGACTCGGAGGACCAGGGGCACGACCTGCAGGCGATCCAGACTCTGCTGAGGCAGCACGAGGCTCTGGAGGTAGGAACCATACAGCAGGCCTCTGCTCAGAATGAATCATCAGGTGAATCAATGCTGTCAACGCCTCCCCCCAGACGGACCTGGTTCTGATCTCGGAGGAGGTGACCCGGAGCAGTGACGCGGGCCGGACTCTGAGCCGACGGCAGCCCCGGGTCAGAACCTCGGTGGCTCAGCGGCTGGAGGAGCTGCAGAACAGCTGGACCAGCATCCAGGACAAGGCCTCCCAGCGCCGGGCCAGACTGGGCCAGGCCGGGGACGTCCAGAGATACTTCTCCCAGTGCTCAGAACTCATGTAGGTTCTATTAAATCTTAATGTTATTTCTGATTAATCAATCGTTTGATCAATAAAGCAAAGAAAGAAACTGCTCTGAGTTCACGGTGACGTCTTCAAAGTCCGTAAAAGACACAAATGTTCAGTTTACGGTGAAACATGACGAAGAAAAGCAGCAGATCTTCTAAAATGTTCTGAAAAATAATTTAAAAGTTCATGAAAATAGTTTTAGTTTGACAAACTGAAATCAGTTTTATCTCAGTGATGAGCTGAACTGCATCCTTCCACCAGCTGGACGTGATGATCAGCCGCTGATGATCAGATGTGTGGTTGTTTCAGGGCCTGGCTGAAGGAGATGCTGTCTCTGGTCAAAGTGGAGGTCCAGAGTCTGGAGGGAAGCGACCTCGAGCAACTCATTAAAAAACACGACGAGTATCGCGTCCAGATCGACCGGCAGCTCAGCAAGTCGCAGGCCGTGAAGGACGAAGGACGGCGGCTGGTCGAGGACGGAAACTTCATGTCTCAGGAGGTGAAGCAACCTTGTGAACCTGAAACGCACGGCGAGGAACAATGACTGACATCTGTTTGTGTTTTCTGCAGGTGGAGGACCGGATCGGCGACCTGGAGGATCTGGAGCTGCAGCTGGAGAAGGTTTGGGAGGAGAGTCGGCTGCTGTACGAAGAGGAGCTGGAGATCTGCCTCCTGCAGAAGGAGCTGGACCAGGCCGAGCGCTGGCTGAGCTCCTATGAAGGAACGCTGACAGCCGAAGACTACGGGGTACGTTCATTAGAAGGCTACAGGTGAGGTCGGCTGGCTTCACCTGGAGAGGTTTAGGGACCAAACGCAGAAACACTGACGTCTTCATCTGATCACTGTGCTTTCAGGAAATAAGACTTTTTTTTCATCACTTAGGACATTTTTGGTGAATTTGACAGATTTGTAGTGACTCTGGATCATTTTAACTCATTTTGAATAATTTTTAACGAATTATGGACAGATTTCAAGTCTTTTTTTTTCTTGTTTTTTACTAATTTTGAAGACACTTCAAACATCCTGGACAACATTCAGCTCATTTTGGACAAATTTTAAATAATTGTGGTCATTTTGGGCAACTTCGACTCATTTTTAACAGTTTTGGAGTCGTGGTTTTGTCATTTTTTTACTTTTATAAGGCATCTTGGCTGATTCTGGTGACCTTTTTGAGCAGGTGTCAGTCATTTTGGACAGGGTTTAAGGTGTTTTTGATAAAAGTTAAGTAATTTTGAACCAATTGTGATGTTTGAGACTATTTTCATGAGTTTTTGAGCAGATTTTGAGCCATTCTGAACCATTTTTACCGTGTTTTTGACAAGTTTTGATCAATGTTTAATTTTTTTGTCATTTTAGGCAGGCTTTTATAATTTTCAACAATTTTGGAATCAGATGGACACATTTTGAGTCTTTCTGAACATTTTCGACTATTTCTGGACATGTTTTTATTTTTAGCAGGTTTTGAAACATTTTCGACATTTTACAGATCTCAGGTTTCTGTCATTTTGAGTGCAACGTTGTGCAAAGAGACACAACAGAAACACAGCAGGTGAAACTAAATCAGAATGACTGTAAACTCTGGGAGTGATGGGAGGACTTTGACCATATGGAGCATTTTGTTTGTTGTGGTTCCTGCAGGACTCGGTGTCTGACGTCATGGAGCTGCTGAAGAGGCAGGAGGACCTGGAGGCCATGATCCAGACTCAGAGCGAGAGGTTCATCGCTCTGCAGAAGAAGAAGACGCAGGTTGGTGGAGCTTAGGAGGCTGAACTGAAGCCTGTATAAATCCTGTTCTCCTCTTAAATCTTTGTTTTGCTGTCAGAGGGAGAAGCGGCTGGGTCTCCGTGGACACGAGGAGAAGGACCTGCAGTACAGACGACCTCCAGCCAGAGTTTCCTCACTGAGGAGGAAGCCTTCAGACCCGAAGACCCCGAGGATCTCCAGAGACATCGTACGTCGACTCAGCATCGGCAGGCCGACCGACCGGACGCTCAGACTGAAAACAGACGTCGTCAGTCCTCCTCAGAGTTCATCTGTCCGTCCTTCAGCTAGCAGTCCTCCTGACAGTCCCAGCTCCAGCCCCACCGTGGTGTCCTGGAGAAACCGGACCAGAAGCTCCTCTTCCCCAGAACCCCCTCAGTCTTCTCCTTTGTCCCCTAAAACCTCCTCCTCACCTGTAGAGCCTCGTCCCAGGTCCAAACCTCCTCAGTCTCCTCCTCCTCAATCTCCTCCTCCATCGCCTAAGTCCTCATCATCATCGTCATCCTCACCTAAAGTGTTTCATCCCCGGTCCAAACCTCCTCAATCTTCTCCTTTGTCCCCTACAACCTCCTCCTCACCTGTAGAGCCTCGTCCCAGGTCCAAACCTCCTCAGTCTCCTCCTTTGTCCCCTAAAACCTCCTCCTCACCTATAGAACCTCATCCCAGGTCCAAACCACCTCAGTCTCCTCCTGCATCACCTAAGTCCTCATCATCGTCATCATCCTCACCTACAGAGCTTCGTCCCAGGTCCAAACCTCCTCAGTCTCCTCCCTCCTCCCCCAAACCTCCTTCATCCGCTGAATCCTTCTCACCTCCAGAACCTCGACCCAGGTCCAAACCTCCTCAGTCTCCTCCCTCCTCCCCCAAACCTCCTCCATCCCCTCAGCCTTCCTCCTCACCTGCAGAGCTTCGGCCCAGATCCAAACCTCCTCTGGCTCCAAAGCCCAGGTTCTCCTCCACAGATCGGACAGTCGGACGTCACTCTGAGTCCTCGGTTCATCCGAAAAAGCCCGCCACACCACCGCCTGACTCGCCTCCACCAGTCAGGAGGTTTGTTGCTCCGACTGAACCTCCTCCACCTCCACCGGTCGCAGGAAGGCGCCCTGAATCACTGACACCGGAGCAGTGTGACGTTCCTGATTCTGCCGCTCCACCTGCTGCTCAGCAGGCGACGCATCCTCCAATCACAGAGGAGGATGCTGAGTCACATGACCTCACTCCTCCGTCTCCTCCACAGAGACAGAAGACACCAGATCTACCTGAGAAACCACCCACACCTGAGGTAAGAACCCTGTCAGGCGTCAGTTTAAAATGTTGCACAAATAAAAACAAAAACTTCACTGACATTGTTTTAAAAGCGGTTTATAATAATAATATTTTCTACTTTCGCTAAGTTAAACCTTTTAACCAACATAGTTTGTTTAGGTTTTGTCACAGTTTTTTTTTTTTTTTAAACAATAAAATGTATTAGCTTCTGTTCAATAAATGCAAAGAGGGACAGTGTTTTGATCACAGTCTGGGATACATCAGTGATCAACACCGACACCGATTCTGATGCATCGTTATTATTTATGCATTGTCAGATTAAACATCTAACCTTGGACCTTTAAAACAAACCTTTTCTCATAAAACAAGTGCCATGAAAATATTAAATATGAATATTTTCCACTTTCAATTACAATTTTTTTAACCAAAGACTAAATATTCTTCTGTTTTAACACTTTAAATGTCAGTTTGTGTTCGGAACACCACAGATGTTGTTGTTTTATAAAACAAATATAAACATTTTAATGTTTTCCACATCATAAATAAGAAGTTTATTCAGATAATCACAATCTAGGATATGTCACTGATTCACAGTAGTGTTGATCTAGATTTTAAGTCTACGTTCACACTCAGGACCTTAGAAACAAAAATATCCTGCTCATTAAATCATTAAAAGTGGCATCAATTTGTTGTATTTGAATATAATTTTCCATTTTTACTGGGTTAGATTTGTTTACTGATGTCGGTCCAAATATTTATTCACTTTCAGGATTTTAACGCTTGAAGTTTGTTTGCACGAAGCCACTGAGAGGATTTCTTAATCACAGTCTGGAAGGTTTCAGTAAATAACAACAATACTAGTTTTGATGTTCATTGTTTGAGCAGTAAATTAAAGTATTAAAGAATCCTGTGTGTGTACGTACAGTCCTAGTAAAATGTTCACTATCGTTTAAATGATGAAATACAACATAAAGAGGACAGAAATGTGCCCGTTGTTGACTCTTCATCATCGACATGTCCTCACACTTGTGCCCAGGTGACACCTCGACAGCCAATCAGGATGGAGGGGAAGCTGGAGATCAAACTGAAGCAAGCAGGAAACAAGGTGAGAAACATCTCAGACGCTCAGAAGTCACAATGTTCAACCTAAAAAGCACCACAGTGTTCATGTAACGACGTTAATGATCAGAGGTCAAGCTGTGTTCAGTTTAGGTTTCTGATTACATCAGATACGAGTCTGTTGGTTCATCTAGTTCAGACTCAGTGAGCTGGTTCTGCTGCTGTTTCAGGGTCTGGAGCACTGGGAGGAAGTGTGGGCTGTTCTGGAAGGCCAAACTCTGAGCCTGTTTAAGGACACAGCAGCTGCTGCAGAGGTACGAAGATCTCAACAAACGTCATCGAAAACATTCGGTCTGCCTTTATATTAACTCAGAGGTACACTGAGATTAGGGCCTGATTAACAACACAGCAGAGACACAAATACACAGAGACAGACAGAAACACTGAGATAAAATTACAAGATGTTCCACATCTGTAGAAAGATGTTCCACCATCAGACGTAGAAAGATGTTCCACCATCAGCTGAATGTATCTCCACCAACTGGCTCCTCTGTTCTCTGGTTCTGATCCATGCTGCAGTTATTTATTGATCCAGTACTTTGAATTTTTCGCTGTTCTAAATCTAAAGTTACTCAAAATGTGGTGATTCTTTTGGTCTTTTTGCTGATTTAAAAACTAGACATTGCAGCTTTAGAAGCTGCTGTCTGGTTCTGGGGTTGAGACGGTTCAGAGAATGAAAACACGTCGTCGCTGTGAGATGAATCATTTTCTTTAATGATGTGACTTCAGGTTGTGTGATCATGAGCTGCTGCTGGAGTCAAACTGACAGCAGATCAGTCACCTCGTTTACCACCCAAAAAATCCAGAGCTGCTTTTAGTTTTTTTTATTTTAAGAGTTCTCGAACTCAGAATATTTACACATCACTGGACAAAGGTTCACTTTTATCGCCTCTCACACAGAGAGTATGAACAGGGTTGTTCCTCGTGGATCACAGTGATGAAGGACAACAAACAGAAAAGGCTGTGGTGTTATTCTGTCTTCTGCCTCCTGATCACCGCATTAATCAGTCTGCTGTGTTTCCACAGAGGACCTCTAGGTGGCCTCCTATCAACATGGTTGGAGCAGTTTGTAGAGAAAACAAGTACTACAGGAGGAAGGAGAACACCTTCAAACTGGCGTAAGAGAGCTTCACCAGATCCTCTCACAGATAAACACAAACCTGACGTTAGGATCTTCCACCACATTGTTAAAACCTCTTCTTTCTTCCAGCTGTTTCATCTCCATGTCTTGTGCATCATTTTATTCTCCACATCATCGTCTTGTAAAACAGTTCCCGTCTTGTCAGAGGTTCAGTTCTGTCCCTGTGCTGTGTTTTCTGTCCGTCAGCCTGGAAGATGGATCTCAGTACATGTTCGCAGCATCCAGCAGAGACCTCCAGCTGCTCTGGGTCAAGAAGCTCCAGAACCAACCTGACTCCTCCAGCAGCGACTCCGACGACTCGGGGTGAGTTCAGACACGAGTCAGATCGCACAGTTCACCTGAGAAAGCCCTCTAGAGACACTGTGCTCCTCTAGTTTGAAACCTCAGGTGTGTTTGTGGGTTTTAAGGTGTCGGTTTTTGTAGCTCTGTTCGAAAACAAAGTGAAGGATTCGTCTGATTGTTTGATCTGTTGTTAATCAATTAGTATGTATCAGACCTGATGAGGCAGAAGACAAAGGTCATGCATCTGCAGTTCCTGGTTGTTCCAGCAGGTGGAGCCTCTCCCTGTTTAACAAGGTGGCGTTACAGGTGTGTTGGAGGCAGTGTTGAGGAAACCTGCAGCATCAGGTGTAAACACCTGTCTGTCCAGTTTAGTGAGCGTGTTAGACAGTATTTCTTTTTAGTAAGATTTTTATTTTGGACAAATTTTGACTCATTCTGAACCATTTAACTCATTTTGCATCAGTGTCGAGTCACTAGTTTTGAGCTCCTTTGGACAATTTCTACATTATTTTTCACAATTTCTGAGTTATTTTGGACAAATTTCAAGTCGCGTTGCTGCATCAAGCTACGAAAATGGCTTCCAGCCATCTTATTTAGCTAGCTAGGTGTTGCTGGACAAATTTTAAATCACTTTGGACCATTTTAACTAATTTTGAACAACTTTTAAATAATTTTGGTGAAGTTTGGAGTCATTTGGAACAAGTTGTTGTCATGTCAGACCGGATAAAATTTTGTAATTCTGGACAAATTTTAAATCATTCTGAACAATCTTGAATCATTAAGGATAAATTCAGTCTCTTTGGACCCGTTTTAAGTCACTCTGGGCAATTTTTGAGTGATTTTTAAACCAGTTTTTGGTCAATGAACAATTCTGACTTTGTATGGACAAACTGCAGATTCACACAGCGAACATTCAGCAGCAGACATCTGATTACAAGGTTCCAGCAATATTCAGAATGTACCCGGCTGTCAGCTGTTCAGGTTAGCTCGTTAGCTTTCTGTCATTGTACAGCAGTAGCAGCTGGACAACAATAAAGAACGCTAAACAAACCACTTGTTCATGTCGATCCGCTGTGAGGATGGTTCTGATATCAAACCTCTGTGAAGACTTAAATGATGTCACAGAGAAACACTTATTTAAACAGTTTAGTATGTTTTTGTGGTAGTTGTTTAGCTTTTTATGTTCATTTAACATCTTTATGTGGTAGTTTCGCATCTTTTTGTTGTCATTTAGCATCTTTATGTGGTTGTTTTACATCATTGTTTGGTTGTTTTGCATTGTTGTTTGGTTGTTTTGCATCTTTATGTGGTATTTTAGCATTGTATTAATAGCTTAGCATTCTTTTGTCATTCCAGGTTATTTTCTGTGGAAGACTGCAGCTCATATGCTGTTTAATTTAGTTTATCTTTTCTTCAAATTCCTCATTGAACTGAGCTGAGTTATTGGTAGCTTTTTAAAATATGCTTGTTAAGTGTGAAAACATCATAAAAATGTCAAAAAATAAACACAACTTAATTTTAAAAACACGATAAGAATCCCATGAATCGAGTATTTGAGAATATTTCAGACTGTCTGAGACAGCACAGCCTCCTGCTATAGTTATGTCTCTAAAATTCACAACGTGTGCCGTATATTGGACATATTTATTCAAAGACACACATTCGGTGTCGACTTGAGGTTCCACACGACAATATTTTGTCTGCATTTGCGTCTGTGTTGTTGCTGCTTCTTACCCAAATGAATTCCTGAAATGAACAGAGAGCCGCCGATACAAAAGCGTGGCGTGCAGTCAGAGAGCAGCGTTTGTCCGTCGCACATGTTTGATGGGGTTTCAGGCCGAAGTGGTTTCCTTCAAACTGCGTCAGGTAATTTGACTTTGACTTTCACATGTACCTGTTCACACTGTGCGCCGCGGGGACGCCGGGCTCCTCCGAGGAGCCCGAAGGCTCCAGAAATGAAACTCCCTGCCAGCGGGATTTTTCTTTAATGAGATACTTTGACAAGGTGAATTACATTCAGCGGGCGCACAATGGTGGAGGAACAAACGGCAGCTCGGACGCAGCGATTGGTCCATTCAGCCGCCTCTGGTTCAGACGGAGCGCAAGGCTCGGCAGCAGCAGCATGAAAGTGCCGACGTCTGCAGGACGTCACTGCACGTTTATTTCACGCTCTGAACTCCAAGCAGCCATTTCTGGGTTTTTTGGCTCCTCGGTGTAAAGTCCTGCAGCTCTATTGAACAGAACCACCATGAAGATGGAGAGAGAACTCAGAGACGGGTCTGTCAGTGTGATGCAGTTCAAAGGGCACTGATGAGAACAATGCTGCAGTTTTTCATTATTTATTTTACAACAATTGCAAAACCTTTGGATCAGCCTGTCCGCCAGTGTTACCAACACTGGAGCACATACTGGAGATATTTAACTCTTCCAGTTTGTTGTCATCGTCCTCTCTGCTCCCTGGAAACACTTCTCTACAGAATCAGCCCAAACATTCTCGTATGATTCATTATTTCCAAACTCTCCTGCCTGAGATGTGCTGCAGAAGAACTCAATAAACCCATGTCCGTGTGTTCCAGTCGTGCATCTTGAAGTCTTCACTGTTCTTTATTTTCTCACTTCTGCATGTCGGCTAGTTTACACAGTCCGCGGCGTTTTGTTGTGAAGGAGTCGCTGAAACACCTGATGAGTCCGAATCCACTAACGAGAGCTTGTTGTTGTTCAGGAGAGCTTCGTCCGTCAACCTGAGTCTGGAGAAGCTGGCCGACGCTCCGGAGGGCTCGTCGTCCGGCAGACCTGCGGACCGGAGAGCTGAGAGCCTGGAGAGACAGTCGTCCACGGAGGGCCCCCCTCCCCCGAAACCCCCCCACACCTACTACAACAGCCACTCGTACCCCGAGGGGGGGGAGGCCCCCGGCTCAGGTGAGACCAGGTCCATGTCAGTAGAGTCGGTGGAAGAGGAGTGAAGACACTGAATCTCTGTGTGAGGCTGCAGAGTGAAAATCAAACCATCAAACCTGCACTTCCTTCAGAGGTTAATCTTCACAATTCAAGGCCACAAATTTTCGTTTTACTACTGTTGAGGAAATTTTCTATGATCTACATAAAGTCCAGTAGTCCGAGTTGTCTTTGTCTCGTTTTATTCAAAGCTTTGAAGGTACAGGTCATACAGAATGCAAGCAGTCTGCAGGAGAGTACACATGAATGCAGGCAGCATAGTATTCTTATACATGTACAGGCGTGGTCTTTACTTCAACGGTAGTATAACAATCCCATGCTGGAAAACAACAGCTGGGTGTACAGGGTGTACTCATCCACAGACATTTAGAAGACTAAACAAGCAGGATCAGGCATCAATAGTCTGAACACATGGGATGCACAACTTCTTCTTCCCATGTACAGCCACTAGTGTTTACCTAGATGTTATGAGAACACATTTTGGGCCTGTAACCTTTCCACTCAGCTTTAATGAAACTTAGAGAAACCCTAGAGAAACTTGCTTTAACATTATTCATGCAGATGCAGTATTTTTCCATTACACTACGGTGGCCTCTGCAGGACGTCTGAGATGCTGCTGAACTGTCGTCAGACTCCTTCAGACTGAACCTGCTTCCAGTTAGCATGTAGCAGCTAAAGCCCTACGTCGTCTGCCTTCACTGAGGTTCAGCTCGTTAGCATGTTAGCATCCTGTACCTACACACCTGAACTGCATTCTGTTCCATGTTTTAAAGTGAAGGAGAAGCTTCAAACCAACGACATGACTCTGTGGGTGTTTGGTGTGACTGTAGATGGTTTCTCTGCAGGTGTCCAGAGCAGCAGCAGCCCTCAGCAGCCTCCAGCAGCTCCAGCTCCTACCCCGGACCCCCCCACCGTGACCCCCCAGCCAGCCGAGGACTCCGGCAAAGACAAGCCCAAGATGAGCGTCTTCAGGAAGTTCTTCACCAAGAAGTAGCGCTTCGCTCAGCATCCTTCATGTCCAACAGTAACACGTCACAAGTCAGAGGCCAAGTAGAGGTCAGGTCATCATGAGCTGCTTCACACACACACAGAACGCCTTCAAGGCAGCAGAGAGAAGAATCAGGATCAGCTCAGGTTTAAAGAAGCTTTCAGTCTTTAGGTCTTTATCTGCTCCTGTCTCGCGTTCCTTCACTGAAGTTCATGTTTCACTAAAGTCCTGCAGCTCTGAGGAACCAGAACATGAATGAGGAGAACTCAGAGACGTCTTCTGATTCTTCACCAACTCTGGAAAACCGTCTCCACAAACTGTAGATGTTTAACTCTTGAGGTTTTTACAGACGTTTTCTCTCGACTCTGCTCATGAAAGATCCAACTGGAAGATAACAGCTTTCAAACATGAGATAAAGACGTAATTATGACACGAAGGGTGTTAAAAATAAAATGATGAACTTGTGAAATTATAAGAAAAAGAAGAACATAAAACAATTCAAATTTCTGATCAAACATTTAAAATTTTCTGTTGCCAAAGTTTTTTTGTGTTTTTTTTTTTTTTTACAGGATCTTTTGCTTTATTTTTAAATAAACTGAGGATTTGATTAAATTCCAGATTTAAAGCTTTAATCTGTAGATTTTTTAACCCCACACATGATTAATTAAAGGAAAGTTGAACATCTGAGGATTCGTTCAGTTTTTACTGTCTGTTGCCGTAAATGGTGTCGAGTTTGGAGATCTGGATCAACGGGACGATTCTGAGATTAAAACACGATTCAGGTTGAAATTATGAGACAAAAAGGAAATCAGTCATCATGGTTGGAAAAACCTAAATACTGACCAACATCAGAGGTATGGAAATATGAGTTAAAGTCCTGATTAAATAAAATAAAGGTCAGAAATAGACAAATTGATTGAAAGGGAAACCGGTGAGATGGAAATATGAGTTTAAGATTAAAAGAGAAAGCTAAGATAGAAAGTCCAGATTTGACGTCGTTGACCCGGTTCTTAGAATCCTAGTTTGTTTACAGGATCGGCTGTAAAAACGTTATTTCAGACTTTTAAAGGAGACGAACTATGAAGTGTTTATGGTGAGACCTGATCATAACACGTGATCACTTCAAGGACCGTCAGACAATTCAAACTCTGAATGTTTTTACGGTTACAGCTGATAAACGGGGACAACATTTAAATGAGCCAACACGGAACAGAAATAAAGTTTTAAAGCTTGGATAAATGGATAAAATTCTGAGCTACAAAGTTGAACTTGAGTCAAACATACAGAAATAAATACACATGTTAAGACAAAAAGTCAAATTTATGTTAAAAAAGTCAACATTATGACCAAGTTCACATATTTCAGTTTGTCGAGGAGCTCTGAGCTTTAGTTTTTTTTACTGAATCTGCTGCAAACGCACGTTATTTCTGGTAAACTGTTAAATGAGACATACAGAATACAGCAAATTTACAGAAACATCCAGATTTTAGGCACAGATTTGAAACCACCAGTCACACGTGTAGTTCAAGGACAGTCTGAAAACTGAGACTCCACTCATGTTGATGGTTTTTCAGTTTGTGGCTGATAAACGGTGACGTTTTGGTGAATTTCTAAATGAGTTAAATGTTAAAATATTGATAAATGGATAAAATTCTGAGAAAGTCAAATTTGCGCAGTCGTGAGTCATAAATATAAGAAGAAAAAAAACGGATTTGAGGACGAGAAGCCAAATTTCTCACAATGGTTTTGGTGAATAGAACGTCTGTAGCTACGGTTCAGAGCCGAACCTCGTGTGACAGTTAGAAATCCGATTGTTTTAACCCTCTGTGGCTGGTACCGGGTGTGTTCTGGTGCTTTTTCTTCCTTAAACCGAGCACTTCTGTCTCAGCCTGCTGTGGCTTCAGGCGGTTAAATCGTCCTGCAGAGGTTCAGGCTCCTTTCACAGTCAATCTGTGAGCAGAGGTTCAGAGAGTCGGGTCCAGATGCAGTTGAAGCCGGCGCCGCAGCAGCATGCTAATGAGTGTTTACATGAGCAGTAATGAGGAGCTGCTCCGAGCGCTTTGGCTGCATGACGTGATCTCGACCTTTTGACACAAAATGATCGACAGCGAATCAATTCAGGCAAATTTGTCCCATTTAGCAGCAGAAAAGGTTTCAGCAGAGACGCTGAGAAAGATCAACTTTGGTTTGGTGTTTTTCCAAATGAACTCCATTTATTTATTAATGAGCAACAAATCCAAACATCTTCAGACTCATCCTCTCCTCTTTCAATCAGATCAATAAGTGAATCATTACCCATAACGAGGAGACCAAATTAAAGTCGATTCAAGTGTCTGAGAGGCTTCAGGCTGAATCTCAAACATCCGACGTCACGTCTTCCTCCGTCTGCTGCGCCGCCACCGCTGCCTCAGGACAGCCTGATTGATCCGATTGACTCCTGCAGCAGATTCACACATTGAAACCGCTTCAGTCACGTATCTGGTGACGCTTGTTTCAGGTTCTTCTCCTCCAGCCGGAGCATCAGAGTGGAGGTCAGAGGTCGTCTCTGATCAGAGCTGCACTGACGAGATGAACAATCACTGTCTGGTCAGAACACCTGGTTCTGGTTCTGCAGAACCTTTATCTACTGACCAGAGTTCTACCTTCAGACTGTGAATGTTCCAGAGTTCCAGGTCCTTGAAGTCCACAGAGGAGGGTCCAGATTGATCACTTTAATGGACTTTTTCCATCATTTCTGAGCCTCAGAACTTCATCAGTACAGCAGATAGACACATGACATTTAGGAGGAAGAACACATCTGGTTCTGGTAGAACCTGACACCAGATCAGTTCTACATCCATCCAGGTGTCTCAGTCTGAACACTGGACCTGGTTCTGTTCAGCACCATTTTTTCCTATAGTTGACCATTACTGAGCCATTTTAAATAGAATTCTTTGTCATTTTAATGTCGTTCTGAGCATATTTCAGTCAATTTGGACCATTTTTGAGTCATTCTGAACAAATTTTCTGTACTTTTGGATGATTTTCGAGTCATTGTGGACAAATTGAGTCATTTTGCATAATCTGATCATATTGGACATTTTTTTGTGTGATTCTAAGCACATTTTCTTTCATTTTGGATGATTTTTGAGTCATTGTGGTCGGTTCTACATCCATCCAGGTGTCTCAGTCTGAACACTGGACCTGGTTCTGTTCAAATGTTTACCTAATAGACACTTTGCAAAGTTTTCTCTGGTTTTAATGATAAGAAAACAGTGAACAGATGAATTAAATATGAGATGAGAAGATGATTTCCCCTCAGAGTGGATCCTGTCTACAGATGGTTCTGGTAGGTTCTGGAGGTAAAACGGTCCTTCCATCGTCTAGAACTGGTTCTGACCAACTACCATCACACATGCTGATATGAGCCTGGAACGTTTACCCAGAATGCACTTTGCAAAGTTTCCTCTGGTGAATGATCAGAACCAGAACCACATCCAGGGTACCAATGATTGTTTCTATGACTCTATGTCATAGACATTAAACTGGCACCACTATGAGACATCCCATAATACTGATGCTACCAGCTGCTGGCAGAGGACATGAACAGAACCAGGTCCAGTGTTCAGACTGAGACACCTGGATGGATGTAGAACTGATCTGGTGTCAGGTTCTACCAGAACCCAGATGTGTTTCAGACGGTTTTGACATTTTTCTCTTTTTGCATTTTGGAGACTTTTATTCGTAATTTTTGATATTTTATAAATATATTTGGTGTTTGTTTTAATATTTAACATATATGTTCTTCTCCTCTGATCTAGACGTCTGTTCTGTTCTTCTTTTCTTTTCTCCAGCAGCTCTACAGACCTCCCAGGTTCTGCTTTGTTCATCTTTCATCACAGAGTCTGGACTTTATTTGATCTCCAGGCAGTGACCGTATGTTCTGATTGATTCAGTGATTAGCAGGAACCCAGAATCTCGTTTATAGAAATCTTTGAGCGTTTTGAGGCTGAATTTATCCAAAGTTCTCATTTCTGCTCTGGATCAAACTAAATTCTGTTTAATGAGATCAAACCTCATAGACGTGTTTGAGCAGAACAGGTAAATAACACCGGAAGTAACTGTGGATGTCGGTGCTGGACCGGACCAGGTTCTCGGCGGTTCTGTCCGTTAAACTGCAGTTCCTCCTGTTGGCCTCACGGTGTCGCTGTCGGCGCAGTAATGAGCTGCTGGTCGGTTCGGTTCGGTCTGAGGATTCACGTCGGTCGGAGCCTGAAGCTGCAGATCAGAATCTGATCCTGAACATCAACATTAGAGTAAAATCCGAGCCGGAACCGGAACCGTATTAAAGTCCACAAACGGTTCCGCTTCATTTTCTGAGCTGTTCTACGTTTAAAGCCAAATTATTTCTGCCCGAACTCTTCCAGAATAGAATCTGGTTTTATCTTTTATTTTAATCAAAAGAAAAGAAAAAAAACTTTTCTGTTAAAAACCTGATTTGTTGTTAATTTAAACAGAAACTGTAAAACATTCTGAATCTGAAATCCGTCTGATGGAACCAGAAGCTCCAGAACTTTATCTGAACTCCTGCATTCAGCTCCAGAACCGCTGAAACCTCCAGAACCCAACAGCGAGCTGCAGTCGGATCTCGAGGAGCAGAACCATTGATCAGATCAGTAGAACCCGAAACGTTCCCAACATGTCCGGCAGCTGAATGTCCCTCAACTTAAACCCGTTTATTCATTTATTTATTATTATTTATCTACTTCAGAGTTCTAGTAACGGCACCGTGTTCCTGTTGGTACCGTAGAACCCAGCAGAGGCCTTCAGAACCCATAGAACCCGAAATGTTCCCAAATAAATAAAAACACATCCGGATGCGCATTGAAGCCGTTTATATATTTCCTGCAACGTTTCTAATTAAATTAAAATAAAAGCAACAAAACGCTATTTGGACCTGAAACACCAGAACAAAGTTTAGATTTTAAACTCCTGGAACCAAACATCAACCTGCTCGTTAAGGAGAA